ACCAAAAATTTATCAACCAAGTAGAAATTCTGCTAAGGTGTACGTGATTTTCGGTGAGTTATTAGAAGGGATGTTCATGTATTCAAGTTAAGTGCGCTGTGTAACATTAAAAACACGAGAATTTTTCATTTCTTTTTGAAGTGAAGAACTTGATTCTCGTCCATCAGTTACAGTCACGACCATGTCATTGGTTACTGGGCGATTTCGTCGACAAAATGAAATGCGCATGAAAGTGACTGTGAACTGACGCCGGCGAAAAAATAGAAGAGTAAGATACGTATAGAAGAGAGCTTGAAAGTTTGAGCGGTGTTTTTAACATGCTCTCAATGAACTTCTACTTCATATCCGATGACAGCTTCTCATTTTCCACATTGCGAGGGCGTTCCGACTATTTTGTATGATTCGATAAAGAAATTGTCATGAACCGCGAATGTTTTCCGATTTTAATCCACCTGAAACATCTGATGTGAAATTCTGGTTTCCGCTTTTGTTTACCTTCCGATCTCTACCATCGTCAGATTGTAGATGTTTTCTCACGTCGCGTTTCTCATTTCACTACTCTCACGGACCTTTTCAATGCTGATTAGGTTATACTTCTGAAGTTCAAGCTTCTGTTACCAGTCAATGACCATGGTTTTTTGTTTTTATGATGACTGAATATTTTTCTACTAAAGACGATTCTGGCTTTCAAACCGTATTATTTGCTGGATGGTCTGTGTTTCTCTATATGGTTTCAACAGTAAATTTTTTGTATACTTTATCAACAATCACAACGGTGCTAAGATATTTGCAAAACTCCGGACAGCAAGTATCTGCGGAAGGGAACAAACGCTCTATTACCCTTTCCGAGGGCTAACGCGTTCGTTACCACCCCATGCTGTGGGTCCTTCATTTCGCCTGTCTCTCAGCTAATTTTTTTTAGTTCTTATTATTCTTATTCGTATTCTTAGTTCTTCTTTATCAGCAATGTCAAATCACAGAAATCTACGAAAATTATCTAAATATGTTTACTGATTGTCTGCTTCGTTACTGTAGTCATTGTGCATCTCTATTTAAACCGGCTTGTCACTTTTTTTCTTTTTGATTTAATTTTCTTGGATTTTTTGCTATTTTAGATGAAGAGTAATCTTTTTCACAATTTATGTCTCTTCAACTACTTTATAATCTGCCATGTAGGTTTCGTTCAGCTATTGTTGCTTCGAGAAAATCCTTCTTTAACCAAGAAAGTCGTGTTTTCAGCTTTTTTAGCGGTTTCTCTAAGTATCTATCTAATTCTCTAAGGGGCGCATGTGGCGCAGTGGTCGGAGGCGCCTTGCAACACACATGTGGAATCGATCCCCACGCCCATGGCCCACCAAGCACTCCATCTCTCCGGGGTCGGTGAATTGGTACCAGACTTGTCCGGGAGGATAGCAACACTGACTTGATACATCGGCAGTCCAACGCGAGTCATTGTATAAGCCCGATATCTATTCAATCACTTCCAAACGATGCTTAATGAACTCGAATGCATGGCGCATTCCGCAGGGATTGATCAACGCCGAGAGCTTTATCCCTTTATCCTTTATTATTCTCTCAGTATTAGCTCGTTTCGAGGATAATAGTCTTTAAACGTTCTTCTGTTAAATCAAATATAAGCGAAGATTGTCATTATTTTCTCCTCTTTTTATTATCTAAGCCTTTCAAACCACGTTATTTAGTTGTACGACGAGAAAATATTTAGCCATAGCAGGTGTTAATGCAGGCGAGTGGCTAGTCAGATTTCTTACTTTATTCACCTGTGCTAACACTTTTTTCTCGTATTTACCTACGTTGAAACTTGATTGTTTTAACCTTTCTCTGCTTTAAGAGTGGTTAGAAGCTTTGCTGACACTCACCCGTCACGTGATTGATGCTTCCGTTGTAGCTCAATGGGTCTATCCGGCATATGGCACGTTGACTGCATTTCGTCTCCGGCCTGCAAATCGATGCTGCCGACTGGCTGAGTGACTGGCTGAATGAGTGGATAGCTGGATGGTTGGTTCTATGATTGGGTAGTTCGGTTGCCGCCTGGTTGTAGCAGATATCTGCAGTTGGTAGACACTGAGACCTTTCACTTGACTAATGAGAACCGGATATTCGAAATCAAACACTTTTTTATAGGACCGGCTAATCTTGTCTCATCTGTTTCGTTCACTAATGACTGTTTTTCTTCATTTCTTTGGCCGGAAAATTCACACCCAAGGAATAGTACGCTGGTCCATTTGCTGAACAAGAAAGGGCAATATCGAGTTGTAACACAGGCGCTGAGCAGTATCGCTGCTACTTCTATCAACCCTATTATCAACGTTATGTAATGATCGGATAATGCTGATTTGTGCATCCCAGATCATTCCTGTGGACGGATAACTCTCGCTTGCTGTGGTGGATTTCATGTCAGCCACTGGAAATAGTAATCGCTGATTTGAATCCCATCTGAGGTTCCGAGTTTCTCCAGTATCTCAGCATCATTGTGATTGTATTTACATAATACCCTATTATGAAAAGAATAGGTAATAAGTAAAAGCTACAACAGTGGTCGGATATATTAGCATGAGAGTGGGATTAGCATGAATTTGCAATGCACATCATTTGTTCGGCCTCTTTCAGGAGCTAAAAAGCCCTTAAAAAAGGAAGCACATCACATGTGATCATGTCACTTTCAAATACAGTGGGCATAATTCTTTCTGGATAATTCTTGAGAAGAACTGGGATGTTGAGTTACTTTTAAAGACTACCAATGTTGGAGAATTCTATTTCATAGTTTTACTGAAGTTTTATCGAAAATAAACGGTCGTCAGAAGTGTTTACATTTTATGATTTTCCTTCACGATCCTCAGAATTCCCTTGATACAATATCCGTACAAAGTAGTCTTCTTCGTATCCTGCACTTGTTTATCTGCTTTCACTGTTTTTTTTTTGCTTCATACATATCGTTTTGTTGTCGTCGTGTCTGAAATCGTTCTTTATTTTAGTGACGTCGATGTCCCCCCAAGCTCATCGTATACGGTATTTGCAAAATTCTTGTTTTTTGATGTGTGGTGTAATTTAGCATTGTTTTGGTGAATTCGTTCATATCAGGCACGACGACATTTCGCTATTCGTTTCGTGTTTTTGTGCGTCTTGAAATTGCATTTGTCTAGCACTGGAATTAAACATGCTAAATTTTCAGGGCCCCGACAGTTATTTCCCGAAATTGCGAAGCGCGCGTGGTTTTTCGAGGAATGCGAAGGTGCGTTCGATTCTTCTGAACTTATAATTCTTTAAAATTCGTTCCTGAATCTCCTATTATGACTTTGGTGACGTAGAAAATGTTGTTTTTATATGGTTCTTAGTGGTGACTCGTGTGGATTAATCTTTTAGAAAAGTTTACTTTTACCTGTTTCTTTCGTAACTCTCTTTATGTCTGGGAGCGATTTATCTTTTTTGGCTGAAATATTTTCTATGTAAATTAGATGAATAGAAATAACTAAGAGCCATGAAGAAAAAAAAACGGATAAATTCTCGAATACGTAACCTAATTATGGACCCTTTAGTGTAAGTGGTGGATGAGCATTCATGAGGAGTACTAATTATTAAGGCAATACTAGCAAAGGTTATAAACGTTTTGTTTACCGTAGCCTTTGATTGGTGGTGAACTTGGGTACAAACTAACTGGTTTCTATTGCAAAGTGTTATAAAGGACTATCTCTGAAATTTTCTGAATTATCCACGAACAACAGCAACGGATGGATGGAGATTGTTTTTAGAGCATTGAACTCTTTTCTCTGGTCAATTTTCTCGGACTATGGTGTTAAGAAATCATAGAAGAAGCTGTACATGATGCTTCATAACAACTAAGCTTTCATTCTTCTAATCGTCGAGCTTTCTTCACACGGGCTCCTAGCAACGTCGAGTAATTACTATGAGTTTTGTGTACAAAATTTTACTACTTTATGTGTTATACGTGAAACGAGAGCGTGATTAAGCATAACAGATTGATAATCTTCAGGATTAGTTCGTTATACATTTTTTTTGCTGAAATTTCTAGAAGCTGTTTTGGGATCCATGTCATTCGATCAATATGCACTCTTTGCATTGCATGTTGACAGCTGAACTCTGCTACTTATTGTATACAAGTTAGCTGGAACTCCCGACATTTAAATCCCTCCATCAAGGCTTTCTTATCCATCGCTTTGCTAACCATTCAATCATATGCATGATCATCGTAAAGAATTATAACAACTTTATTAAAAATGGAATACATGATCTTTTAGTCATGAAGTTTTGAACTTGTCGTATATTATGTAATATTAAATAATTTTAGTGAAATTAATAGAAAAACAAACAACAATCTGGTCGAGGTGTAAAGAAATTTATATTTTAGTGTGAAATTCTATGAAAAAATTGGGTATGTTCCTTTTATATGGTTGGATTTTCTATGATGCTAAGGTGACCATCGCCGATACCGTTTATAGGTGAGAAGCGTCTTCGACAGGGCATGGTTGTCGGTCCTACTATGAACACCTCAACAAAATTCAGCGACAATTACGATGTGAAGGAAGAGTTGGGAAAGTAAGCTCTAGTCGGTTATTGATCTGTTACTGATCGATTTCTTGTCGTTTTTGGTTGGGATTCATCACTTAGCTCATCATGTATATCTCTTATTCAAGGGCTTATTTCGTTATGTTGTCGCCGATCTTTCCCTTTTCTTCTCTCTAGATCATTTTTAGGACAAAATTATTCCGTTATTATTACAGTTAACCTCGTCCTATTATCGTTTCCTTTTTGATTTAAAAGGTGATGGTATGGAAAAAATTGCTTCTTGCTCAGTAAAATAAGCTAGTGGGATGTTCATAAACGTCACAATATGATCTCTTATATTCCCTTAACAGTCAGACATTCCGAATTGGATGTTTTCTTGATAAGGACACACAACATTATCTTTCAGAGCTTGGAAAGGTCTGAAGTGGTTATTGTTGTGGTTTCTGATTTTACTAAGTTATTTTCTTTCTCTTCAGAGGCGCGTTTTCTGTGGTTCGTCGTTGCGTTCACAAAGCGACCGGGATCGAATTCGCGGCGAAAATCATCAACACGAAAAAATTGTCGGCCAGAGACTTTCAAAAACTCGAACGTGAAGCCAGAATATGCCGAAAGTTACAGCATCCAAATATAGGTAAGTTGTACGTACTGTAATCTATTCAGAATTTATTGGATGGAAGTGATGGAAAAGTGGGAAGTATGCAGTCTTACAACCACAATGTTGTTGAGATATTTGCAAAACTCAGACCCCAGGCTATATGCGAGTTAAAAACTGGCTGAGAGAAAGGCAGAATGAGGGCCTTAGTGGTGCAGTGGATAACACTTGAGTCACCAGAATGCATAATCGCGTGTGGCCTAGTGGTTTGAGTTCTGCAAATATCTCAGCATCATTGTGATTGTATTTTTCCTAATAGCCTACCATGAAAAAAAATGGTGGTCAGTAAATAAGTTACACATTATCCAGTTTTAATTCTTTGCACTTCTATCCAGAAAACCTCTCAGAGGTTCCTCCTGTTCTTAAAGAAAAGCATCATGAAAAATACGTAGGAGCCCTCTTAATTCCTTAGAACGGCTTTCATTTTATCGTCATCGAAGCTGTACAGTTTGTTGTTTCGTGGAATTCAGTAGCGTAGATTAGTTAGAGTTTCAAATTTCCAGAGTGCTATTCGTTTGGGTTTTGTGATAAGAACTGATAAATGAGAGGTGACAGCGCGGTGCTGAATGTTTTTCTTCTGTTTCGTTTTTTTCTTGGTTTACGAATCATAGTGGTAAATTCTTCAGTTCGACTTCACGATAGCATCCAAGAGGAGTCGTTTCACTATCTCGTCTTTGATTTGTGAGTGTTTTCTTATTTCTTCTTCCCATCTTGAACTTTTATTGATTTGCCAGCTAATTCTGCAAATCTTACTCGATTCTTACGGTGACTTTTCGACGGGAAAGGAATTCGAACATCGTGAACATGTTGTCAACGAAACGCAGTTTAGAGATAGAATGTAGTGCTGGTAAACGCGATTGGATGATTTACGTCGAAAAAAAAATAAACAAAAACCTAAAGAAAGTGAAGGTGAAAATGTGATGGAATTTGGTGTGGTGTGTTTCGATGTTAAGAATTTTTTTCCCATTTCACCGAATTTTCATTCGTCAGTGAATTTTCCAAAGAGCAAGTGGATTTAAAATGAGGTGGAACATGCAGAGTGAAGTGTTCTGAAAAAAATGAATACGAATTTTAGAGTAACCGGTGGTGAATTATTTGAGGATATCGTCGCCAGAGAATTCTATAGTGAAGCGGATGCAAGGTGAGTGGGATCTTTAGAGAAAATGTCGCTGTCGCAAAATTCTAGACGATCTTAAGGCATTCAGTTGAACTAGCCCTTGCAGTATTTCACAATTTTTTAGCTTTTTATATGACTCTTACCTTACTTTATAGAAATTTGTGGTTAATAATTTGACAACAATTGGCAATTTGGTGGTAAATTCCCTCTGATCCACATGGGCTGCGACTACCTGTGTGGTGAGGACCTGAGGCAGACTTTAGCCAGGCTGACCTGGGGATTCCAGGCAACCACAAATCGCCAAGAAATGGAGGTCATGTTGGGGTCCACACAACCAGTGAAGACGAGCCGTTCAATTATTATGTAATTTGACAACAACGCTTACTTATCGCCGTCATTGTTTATAATCCTATTAATACTGAGAAGTGAAACTGTGTTTAATAGTACTAGTAAACTCGCCCCAATGAGATGCTTTCGTAAAAACGCTGTTCAAACTACTATAAACTTTTGCGTTCTTTTTTTCACTGTTTTCAACTACTTTAGCTTTTTCCAAGTTTAGCATGGAATCGATTTGGTATGTTCGGCAATGCTGTTTAGTTAGGGTGAAGGTACTACAACGGTAGTGATGTTGTCTAATACGCACAAGGTCGTGATTCGAGCCTGCATTAAGCTAACTACCTCTCGTTTCTTTCCTGAAACGTGAAGTTGGTGCCAGGATTGTTGGAATGTAGGCCACTCCGTCCACTCCAAGACAGCATGTGCCTTTGATAAGGATCTGGGAGCACCATAGCACTGCTATCACTGATACCAGAGAGAATCGAGTCGACTAGCATTTAACGACATTTGTTAAGAACACCGAAATTCTTAAAATATCAGCCGAACCCACGCGGTAATCCGAAGTACTTCGTGGATGGCGGACTCAGAAAGCGAATCTAATGTAGGAAGTGCTGAAATCTGCACAATGTGTAGTTTCGCTTGATGTAAAATTTTAAGGAATTTGATTGATCGGCTAATGTAGAACATTAAATTCTCGAGAGCGTTTCGGGAAGGTATCAGTGGCTTTTCTGTATTGTTTAACATTTGCGTTTTTAGCTCCTGTATTTGGCAAATTCTCGAAAGTGTTGGTTATTGCCATCAACGTGATATTATTCATAGAGATATGAAGGTTTGCGTTGATATCAGCGCTGTCTTATTGTTTTTCTTGTTTCTTAACTTTGTTAAGTCATATCGAATTTACTAACACTTTGGAATTTCCATTATTACGTCTCATAGGACGTAAAATAATAAAAGAATAAAGCTTTCGGCGTTGATCAATCACTGAAGGATGCGCCATGCATTCAACTCCATTAAGCATCGTTGGAGGCGATTGAATGCATATCTGGCCTTTACAATGATTCGCGGTGGCCTACCGATGTATCAAGTCAGTGCTGCTATCCTTCTAAACAAGTCTGGTGCGAATTTGCTGACCCTGGAGGGATGGAAAGCTTGGTGGGCCATGCGCGCGGGGATCGATTCCACGTGTGTGTCACGGGGCGCCTCCAAACACTGCGCCACACGCGCCCTTCGCTGGAAATAGTGCAGGAAAAATACTCTTAAGAAAGTGGTAGTTTATTTGGTAGGCAGTATCAAGCACCATATGCTTTGTCTGTAGGGTCCTTCAGTGAGATATTTTTTTCTCAAATAAACTATCCTTTCCTGCTTCTTATCACTAAAGGCATACATTCAAAGATTTCTTTTGCTAACATTTGTATTAGTTGCCATGTATCTAGTCAACAGCACTAAAAGTAGAGGAAGACCTTCATATCCCTTCATTTCACATTAAAACCACTTCCTAATTTGCTTTACAACTTGTTGCATTTGCTATCATTCAACTAGTAAATTGTCTAACGCTTTATAGCAGTTTTTCCACGCTGTTCATACTAAGATAAATATCGACACGGTTAAGGGTTTAGCGCATTAATCGATTTTTTCTAAGAGTTGATCAATAGTTGTCATTTGCTCTACGTAGTGATATCCGTATGATAAAGCCGTCTATAAATACCTTTCCTACTCTTTACTGTATGCGGTACTGTAGGGGTGGTACATAGCATACGTTTAAGTATAGATTTGTTTATATATGTTTGGGTTGATCTATAATGAGAGGTCTTTAGTGGAAACCGTTTCAATAACATTTCTAAATCAGAAAATTGACTGATTAGAACGCAGTAACAAAGTGAACTGTGACTTTCGTCGCTTGTAGTCTTCACTCGACATGACGATGTAGTTGTGTCGTTGAAACCGTTCCATTTTTAATATTTTTCCTTCTTTATCATAGAAGTTGTTCGTTCACTAACCAGTTTGTGTGCGGTTTCAGTCATTGCATCCAGCAAATTCTCGAATCAATCGCATACTGCCATCAAAACTGCATTGTACACAGGGATCTGAAGGTGTGTGTGTGTGCATGTGCATAGGTTTTTTAGCGTATAAAAATAATCGATAGCTTATCTTATATACTAGTAAATCATTTGATTGTCTGAAAATTAATGTCAGTTTCAACCATAAAATCAAAATATGCTGCCACGACCGACTTTCTATTAATCTCGGCATTGATCAAGTGATGTTCTTCGTATTTTTGTTGAGCAAACGCGAGGTGTTATTATTCTTTGTTCACGGTTAAGCTGACGTTTCGGCGGATTTCGCCTTCTTCAGAGCCTGGAAAGGTCAAGTTGATAGCAATCCACTCGGCCAGACGTCTCCATAACCAAACAAAGAGACCCCAATCGTCAAACCCAAAAAAACCATATATATGACCGTCTATGTGCAACTCAAAATTGCATAATTTGCCCCAGTGGTAGAGACGGTGATTGCATGAGCTCGGGTATAGTTTATCTGATCTCCTGTAAGACGTGTGGTGACGAATACATTGGCGAAACGGGTAGACCCCTCTGTGTCCGCATGAAAGAACACCTTGCTGGTAAAAATAGACCAAATACCCCGCTAGGCACGCATAGGACCCAGAGACATAACGGGGACGACTTCGAAGTATGTGTCACGATCCTCGCACGCGAATCAAGAACACAGGCGCGAAAATCTCTCGAGGCACTCTGGATTAATTCCAGAAATCCGAAAATGAACCGCAGGGAAGAATGCCTCATTATCACGCGTGATATAGGGCAGTATATAAAACTGCTTTTCTGATGTGAGGGGCACATTATACTTCCACGTGATTTCTGTGCGGTTGGTCTCTACGTGACGTACTCAGTGGAAACCTCATAGAAAGCGGCTCCGAGGAAGGCGAAATCCGCCGAAACGTCAGCTTAACCGTGAACAAAGAATAATAACACCTCGCGTTTGCTCAAAATATGCTGTTTCTTTGACGAGCTTACACGAGGTTGATAAATATATTTAATTTCGGCTGGCGTTTCAACGTCTTTCGTCTTCTTCATCGGAGCCTGATGGACGTCGAAACTTTAGCCGAAAATAAATATATTTATCGAGCTCGTGTAAGCTCATCAAAGAAAGAATACTTATTGATTAATCACCACGAGGTTAAAGGGAAGTCGGTTTCGAAATATTAAACATCAAATATCGTGCAGAACCGAACTCTTAGTAGATTTAAGCTTGTCGATAGGAATAAAAACCATCAAAATACGTGAATTTCTGCCACTGAAGTAAAAGTCTGTTTAGCCGATCGCCATGAAATTCTACATAGAAATTAGATTGATCTGGATTAAATCTTCTCTTAAACTACATAAAGTGTAAATGCGAAAATGCTTGAAGTGTGGTGTTCTCTTTTTTACAGCAATCGCGAGGTTATTATTCAGCACGCGCTTACTTCCATACAAGTAGAACACATACAACACAACGTAGCTGACGTTTCGGCAGAATCGCTTCCTTCAGAGCCTGGAAGAGTACACTAGCACGCAGCTTACTAGGCCAAACGCTTCAACAACGCAAACAGAAAGATGAAAATCTAAACAATAATTTGGCGATCATCGGCTTCTCGAAAAACCCACCGTTCTCTACCTTACTTCCACCGAGGAGGAACAGCCGCTTGGAGCCGAATATGGCTGTTGACTGCACAACTCCTCGTCAAAAATCGATTGTGAGATACGGGGCTAGATCACGTGTTATCTCAGAGCATTCTTCCCTGCTACTTTTTCTCGGATTCTTGGCATTTATCCAAAAGGCCTCGAGAAGTGTACGCGTTGGTGTTCTAGTCTCCTGTGCGAGGATAGCAACTTTTACGTCAAAATCGTCTCCACTGTGCTTTTGTAACCTATGCGTGCCTAGCTTTAGGTGTTCTTTTATACGGATACACAAAGGTGTGCCCGTTTCGCCAATATATTCATCTCCGCAATCATTACTAGAGATCAGGTATATCGTACACCGTCCCTGCCGTAAGGGCAAATTACGCAATTTGTTGTTTCACATGGGCGCTCATACAGGCGATTGCGAACTAACTGATGACGTAAAGTATTCGTTGATATTTCAACTATCGCTACCGATTCCTCTAGATCTGCCCTCCTTAAGCATCGTTTTATAAGTAAATTACATATTAGTGCACCCTTCCAGCCTCTGAAAAAGGCGATACTGCCGAAACGTCAGCTACGTTGTGTTGTATGTGTTATATTTGTAAGGAATAACAGGTAAGGCGTGCTGAATGACAACTTCGCGATTGCTGTAAAAAAGAGAACAACAGATTTATAATCCAATGCCAAGGTTAATAGAAAGTCGATCCTGGGAACTGCTTGAAGCCTGTTGTAAAGATATTACAAAGACCAACTTCTCGTTATCTTCCGCAAGCCTCATCAATATGCATCCTTTCGTTGATAAGCTAGCACGGCGTGGTTGATAAAAAAAACTATATTCGGCGAAAGTTTCTGCGCCTTTGCCTTCCTTAGAGCCGGGTTGGTCCTAGTCGATTGTCCACAGTTACTCTTTCTTCCGATGTGGGTCCTCGTGATCGCATCGAGTCGAATCCAGTGAAGCACCGCTCGCATGAAGGTGGTCAGTGTTCTTGCGGTGGTATCACTAAAGCGAGCAGAACTCACTGGGCTACTCTTGCACGCGATAGGAAAAAATGGAAGACTCGCTCGAGTCACTCGACGATCAATGGGTCTGCAGGTGATACAGTTCTGATGTTGCGATTTTGAGTGAGAAGATTTTTCGCATATAACTATAAGCAGAAGCCAACCCATACGAGTCGGATCTAAAGCTATGGTGGCTATTCATGGCGTTATACAGGTATCCGAATAGGAATCTTGGATTTTTTCTCGGCTTTGAAGAGCAACTTACTACAGTCATGGTTCAATACCATCGCACACCACTCCTCAATCACAAAGGTGATAAACTCATTATAGGATCCGGGTATTTAGATAGGGCACTTGAAGTCGTGAAACGGTGTGGTCAATTTCTAGTGTTAAACAGCATACGCTTTCGCCTAGTGTCATGCAAAGAGGAGACTTTGAAGTCCTGTTCAATATTCTTCTGAACAACCCTGGAAATACAGGATGCAAATAATGAATGATGGCTTTCATTTGACAAAAAACGACATGAGATAACTATTGTGCATATAAAATAGCTTTTCATATTGTTTTTCATTCATTTGAGTATAGATGAGTTTCTATTTCCGTACATAGGCAAGCCTTTTAAATTACTGGCGAGATAATATTCTTAATCGGAAAGATTCGATGATAACACTTCTATTATTTACGGCGCTTTTCGCAAAGATGAAAAAAAGAACAGTCGAAGGAAAGCGCTGTGACTTGGCTAAGAAACGATATATTTTTATCCCGACCGTAATCGATGGTCCAATAAGGTTTTCAGAATAGTTGTAGACTTTTGAGTGGCTGTTTGTTTCATCGTTTCCTTTTGATTTCATAAACAATATAAAGCTCCATTTTTAACAAGCTGGATGGGTGACCAATAACTAAGAATGAAACAACTCGTTGCTTGTATTGCGTTTGTCCTTCTTTCTTATCGGTGCAGTGCATGTGTTAGCCAAAGCATTAGACGTGTATTGATTGGTTAATGAAAATTTTCAGCCGGAAAATCTACTACTTGCTAGTAAAGCAAAAGGAGCTGCTGTCAAATTAGCTGATTTTGGACTTGCCATAGAAGTCGGTCAGGACACTGAGGCATGGTTCGGCTTTGCTGGAACACCTGGCTATTTATCTCCAGAAGTACTGAAAAAAGATCCTTACGGAAAACCGGTTGATATCTGGGCATGTGGTATGTGGTAAAACGTTTTTCTTTTGGAATTTCATTTTTATAATATCAGTTGTTAGTAAATGCTGACTCTACCATTATCTGAAGTTCTCGTGTGTTTTGAGGTAGGCGGAAATGTTATGCTCATTTATTTCATGGTATATTTTCCATTGTTGCTAGCACATGACATTCATATTTCCCCTTGAGATCTATAAAAAGCAAGCAGAAGAAAGCAGCATAAGGAGAGGCCACTTTTTTGAAACGACGGCCTTCTACTCAAAATTAAATTTCTAACTATGCCACTACATTATAAGACGTATGTAACGCAGTAGTTAGAGCAACCCCGGAATCCACATCTGATCGGGGTCGCTGGTACCATTCCTCGTCTCCAAGGCAATCAAGCATACCATAATTCGGAGTCTGAAAATTGGTGCCAGAATTATCTAAGAGGATAAAAATACTGGTTTAATATATTGGCAGATCGTACACATCATTTATAAGCCAAAAATATTTTCAAACGCCTCCGCCGTGCTACGAATACAACTGAATGCACAGTGTACCCTAAAGTAGCAACGTCGGATGCTTTATTACTTTTTGTGATTTATTATTATTTCATATTTTTATTTTATTTCTAATACAGGTTACGCAAAGCACATCTCACTTTTCTACACCTAGGTGTTATCCTGTACATATTATTGGTTGGCTATCCACCATTTTGGGATGAGGATCAACATCGTCTTTACGCCCAGATTAAAGCAGGCGCCTATGACGTGGGTTTCGCCTTCTTGTCCGGTCACTGGATTTTTAGCGGTTTTCCGCAAATATCGTACTGCTTGTTTTTAAATTTTTTTACTGATCGCGAGTTGTTTTAATAACGTCCTTGCTCTTTTACCATTCTTTAGTGATGTAGTGTTCTCAGAACAATTTTTTAAGAAATGGTGTTCATATAGTAACGAAGTACGTTGTTAATAAGTCTGTCGTTAAAATTTACGTAGATGATGGCATTTATATAGCCGATATAATCTCTGTAATAAGTCGGTTACTTTGCAGTAAAATTGAAGAGCGTCCCGGATGAAATAGATGTCTTTTCCGTGATTATCTAGACGATTACCTACTTATTTACTTGGATATTTGGACGATCTGTCTTCACGAGCTGTGCGGACCCCAACACATATGCCATTCGTTCCTTTCTCTCGCAATCGTAGTCCATGGTGGTGGTGTTGTTCGAGCATGGTAGCGTTTGTGAGTCTCATACCGTGGTCTTGAAAACAAGTGCAGCTGCGGGCACAGCTGATTAACTTTGTTTATGAACAGGTCCACGCAACGTGTATGTGGCCGTCTTGGGGAAGATTTGCATTCTCTTGGAATCCACTATACTGTTCTTTTCGTCCATCTGTCGTCTGTCCTTCTAATTATGTGAACGGTCCATTTATGTTTCTCTATCGATGTATATTCCCCTGGATCTCGAAGATGTGACAGATTTCGAAGGTCAGAGCTTCGCATTCCGGCTACATATTGAGAGTGCCGGTTATATTTCAGAAGACATCGCTCGCTAGTACTTCTTGAGAAGTTGACAATGTCGTCGGCAAACGAAGGTTTGATAGGAATTTTCCATCAATACGTATGCCTTTCTCATCCCAATCGAGTGACTTCATTATCCACTGCAGTGCAGCACTGAACAGTTTTGGCGATATTGTGTTTCCTTGTCGAACCCCTTTTCCTATGGCATTTTCGTAGTGTAGTTCCGATAACAGTCGGACAGAGTCCTTATGTAGGGCGGCTCTACTCTTTGGTCGACGAGCGCTGATAGGATTGCATTCGTTTCGACACTGTCAAACGCTTTCTCATAGTCGACAAAGGTTAGAACTAGAGGCAAGTGGTATTCCCGATAAACTTTTATGACGTTGGACACGGTTTGAATGCGGTCCATGAAGCAAAATCCTTTTCGAAATCCTGCCTGCGCCTCATCCAATATCCTTGATATGCGCGAGAGTATAATCTTCGTGAACAGCTTTTAGAGTACACTTAACAAGCACACGGGACGATAGTTACGAAGATCTCTTCGGTCTCCTTTCTTGGCGAGGATGACCGTGCGTCTGGGATTTTTTCCTTTTGAAGGTAGTCTGTCATATGATCTGCGAGAAGTGCATGTAAAAAAATAGTGGCCTCAAGCTCTAAGGAAATCGGCAGTGATATTATCGGGCCCTGGAGCTGTGCCCCTTTTTATGCTTTCTATCGCAACTCGAACTTCCGACGGAAGAATTCCAGGTGGTTACCTCTGGCGGGATATTAGGGCCCGGGACGTGGATTGTGGAACATAAAAACGTTTCCGCTATTAATTCCATATCATGGAGTGAAGTTTTGACGATCCCATCTTCGTTCATAAGGGCTGACATCGGAACATTATAATCACACAGGTCCCGACGGGATATTCTCAGACTGCTTCTTTTCTCCGCTGCTCCATGCTGATGGTGGATATAATGATAATGTCTGGTGGTAACAACTTGTATTTCTTCCGGACATACATCATTGCGCACATCGTGTATAAAAGGGCATCATTGAGTGAGGATGGCTCATTCGAGAAGATGGCTCACTGAGGAAGACCTGACTCGACACGAAGGCGAAGCTGCAACGTCGAGACGAACAACAAGCATGGACCATCGACTCGGATCACCGGCTCTGACGAAGATGAAGAGGTCGAAACGTTTGCCGTTAATAAATAAATATCATTGTCAACCTCGTGTAAGCTCATCAAAGAAAGATTACATATTGATCCCATCTTCGTTCATCAGGGCTGACAGCGGTACATTATAATCACGCAGCTCCCAACGGCACCTTTCAGACTGCTTCTTTTTCCGCTGCTTCCAGTATTTGATTATGTCGGCACCGATGTTGATCTTTCTGCAAAGCTCTTCTGCAGCTGGCATTTATTACTAGCCATGTTAAACGTGTTGCAGTAGGATCAAGCTTCAGTTTCCTTCTCTTTTCGAGCAACTTCTTGGTAGCAGTGGAGATGCGATCTGATCTTTTTGATTGAAAAACTGAGGCGAATTCGGCACAGTTTTTTAGTCCTTCGATAAGCAGCTCGTGGTCTTCGGTCAGGTCTTCTTTAATCTGCCAGTCCACGTTTGAACAGGACTTCATTCAGAATGTTCTTGTGGCATACAGCTAAACTTTTACCTGGTGGTCGATGAAGGGAGTTCTTTTCCAGCTTGCGGCTGAATCGAATCTTCGCGCGAAGAAGGCGATGATCGGAACTAGTAGAGAATGACGGGATTACCGAAGTTTCAAGTAGGCACCATCTTCTGTTTGTCAGGATATGGTCGATCTCTGCATGAATCATGGTGTTGGGACTCCCATGGCCAGCGGTGGCTTTTTTTTCTGGAAAATTGAGTTTCCATGGAAGAGACGTGCTGATGACAGGAGTTCTGCGAGACGGTTCCCATTGTCATTGCTTTCTCCTAATCCAAAACTTCCAGTCCAGTATTAGCTCTCGTTGGCTTATCCTATTCTGGCGTTGAAATCTCCAGCAACAAATTTATGGTACGCTTTCTCGTTGACGATGACTTCCTCCAACTGTTAATAGAACGCATTTAATTTGTACTCATCAGCTGCGTCGATTCGGTGAGCTGCAGTTGATGATCTTTTTATGGTGCGACAGTTGAAGACGGAGGACGGCTATACCAGTGGAAAGGATCACATATAAGTCGACGAGATGGACAATGTGCGCCTGGACGACGAAGCCTACGCCGCCGACATTTCGTGACGGGATCTTTTCTAGACGGATCACAACGGTCCCGTTGCTTAGTTGGCGTATATCGGTCTTCTTGATTTTTGTTTCTTGTAATGCGATCACATGAAATTTAATGCGATCTGCGGCTATAAGAAGGGCGTGAAGATCGGCGGCTGTGGAGTGTTCTGGCATTATATGTACATAGTAAGAAACAGTCTCCATGGCTTGTCGTGCGTGTGTTCTTCAGATCCGGTTCCAATGACGTCCTGGGTAACCCGAGATTTTCTGGCCTCTCACCGGTCGTCTGACCGCCTGACGTCACAGACGGAAGCAACTAGTGTGCGGGGTACTGAAGCTGGCCTATTGCTGGTCGTGGAACTTGCTCCTCCCTAGAGTCTTGACGTAACCTTGCAAGGGCGTATGCAGGTATTCACTACGGTGTGGACCAGAGGGAGGTGTGTTTTCGGTGACGAAGCTTTCGCTTTGTCTTCCTACTAGTTGATTCAGAGAGATATAAAAGACGAAATCAGAAACAAAAGTAGGAATGAAGTAACCGACCGCTCAAAGACGGTGTAGAAGCCGAATCTCAAACTTGGGAAATTAAACCTAGGTGATTATCAGGCATTAAAGCGATCTTTACAGTATCCTAGCCCCGAATGGGATACGGTAACACCGGAAGCAAAGAGCCTTATCGACAGTATGCTAACGGTGAATCCGAAAAAACGAATTACAGCCGATCAAGCTCTTAAAGTGCCATGGATTTGTGTATGTTGTTTAGTAACTCTATTTAGATACCTTTTAAAATTGCGCATTAAGTAATTTTTCACTGTTGCTTATTTAACGGCACCAACTACTGGTCACCGAATCGCCAATGTTTAGAATCGTGAGCGCGTCGCTTCCGTAATGCATCGACAAGATACGGTAGACTGTTTGAAGAAGTTCAACGCAAGAAGGAAGCTTAAGGTGAGTGTAAGATCTTCTGCTTTTGTGTTTTTTTTGACATATTGCGTTTAAGCCACAAATAGGTTGTATGTGTACGTCATTAATTTTCCATGATATCATACGTTTTGAAGTTTTCAAATGTCGAATATATTCACTTCTGCATGCGGAAATTTATCGCCCTTAAAGCGCTAGCATAGCGCGCAGTGCAGTCGTTAGCTAGACGGTTAAGCAGGTGTAGCGTGCAGTACGCGGTAGAGTTCGAAGCGTTGCGCTCACTACTTAGGTTACGGTGGTTGAGTTTTGATAATCTCTGATTGAACTACATTTAAGTGGAAATTTATTATAAAAGTAGTCGACATATACCTTCGCTGGAATGCTTTTAAAGTGGAGTTCTCCAGAAAACTACGAAAAAATGAAAGTATACGAAAAAACGTTGCTAAGACGTCATCGAACACATTTCCATCCAATTATAATTAGTTCGAATTGCTTCTGCTTTCGTGTCTTCACAAAAACCTTGCCAGGTTAGGTGTACTGGTGAAGAATGAATGGTAAGTAAACGGTTATAAATGCAGTAAAAACGATAATAATAATAATAATGTTGACTTTTGTTTACTGCCTCTTACTAGTTTCCACGTCAGGGGATTAACTGTGAAACAACAGCAATGATGCTGAGATATTTGCAAAACTCCTATTCGCAGGTGTGTGCGGTGGGGAACGAGCACGCAATTACCCTTTCCAAGGAGTAACGCGTTCACCACCACTCCATACAGGTCCTCAGTTTCGCCTTGCCTCTCGGCTAACTAATAATAATAATGTTAAGCGTTTGTTGTCGGATTGAAAAACCTTGGTCTGAAAAAAGACCATGAGGATTTGATATGTGTGTTTAAACTTATAGCAAAACTGTCGTTGATCGCTACCCTTAGATACTCTAGGTCCTCTACCCTTTGACTTTTTTTTCCAATCACACCTCAAAAAAAATCGATTAGGGTCAGTTTTTCGTGAAGCTGAATTTTTCCTATTCGATCATCTACTGCAGTAAATGCTGCACCTGCTGAGTCGTTCATCGCTTCATTTGCATATTGGAATATTACTAGAAAATATGAACACCTCATACAGCCTATTATTTTTTTCTAAATTTTTACCGTTTTCTCGTTTTTATTTTGCCTTTTTTTCGTAATTCTTTTCGTTCATATTGTTTAGTAGTTTTTTCTATACGTTCAACGATGGTGAGCACAGCACAGTTGTACTTTTCGTAGTCAGATAATCGTTTTGAGTTCCGTTCTCTACCATAGAGATATTTCGTCTGGTTAGTGTGATGAGACGCATTGAATGGGAATGTTTAAAAAGTGGAACACAATGCATACCTCGTCCATCGTCGATACATCATATCAGCCGCTTTTTCTTTTAACACTTTAAAATTTTCTTCATCAACTTCTGTCACCACTGCCTTTGGCATGTCAGCCTTTGCGATTCATTCAGCACGATCTTGCTATGTATATGTCACAGTGATCGCATGCTGCGTGACTTCGTAGGGTCATTAGGCCCTATTTTGGAGGTGTTAATCTACAGAGGCAATAATGCTAGTCAGTTTAATTTTCAGGATGCATTTTTGTTTTTTAACGTTTTGCACGAGGAATGCGAATGATTTGATGGCAGAATGAATGCGGTAATGTGGCCTATTCTGAACCCATTATTTTTATTTGCTGATCTGTCAACAGAAGTCAGCGTGTGTCTATTTCTTTCTTGTATTCTATCGAGCTGGCCCACAAGAAGCAATTAGGTTTGTTTGAGCAAAATTAGTCTGTATGTGGCCCACGACGTTACAACTTAACCAGAATTGTTTCACTGTCCACAATAATATCGTTTCTTTTGCGAATATGTAATCTTGAATTAATGAAGCAAGTATGAAACACATTTGGTGCGGATTACTTTCCATTTTAATTGTAGTTAAATATCTTCCACTAAGGCCGTACTCAAACGACGACAGAACATAGCAATGACTCGTGGTATTGAGGGATATCGATTGCCTGGGTGTTGTCGAAGCTCTCTAGTCGATATGCATCACATATATACTGTGCTTGATTATGGTGTAGTATAGCCAACAGAGCTATAGAGCAATTTTGCTTCACTATCGATTGTTCTCGCATCGGATGTAGATCTTTTGGGGCAGCTCGGTTTCTTTCATTGTCTCATCTATCAATTTTTGTCATGATCATCTTTTCTGTGTTATCACATGAAACTTGTGTCCTTCTGAAAGGCCGCGATCTCCGCTGTGACAATGGTAACGCGAATGAGCGGCGTGCTAAGGACAAGCGATTCAACCAGCAGTCTGACATCAAACGGCAGTGGACCAACGGATCCTGGTGCATCATCATCACAACCCAGCAGTCCACAGCACCCTACACAAGAGGTACCACCTAGATGTGCACACATACACCCACATTTTTTGTAGATCTGTTCGTAGATCTGTAAAGACTATCCGGTAATTCATTTTTTCCATTACTGCCGAAGAAATCGAACGACGTCTTTTGTGTAATGAAAAATCTGGCCGGATTTTCCTTACAGGCTGTTTTTGCTATTCAAAAAATCTAGTGAATCTTTCTACGCTTGTCTATGTGTTAACAGAAATTGCTACTACTAATGTCATGTTTTGCTTGACATACTAATCACTGATGCAGCCGTCATTATCATTAGTCAACATTTCATAGAAGCATGCGAATCCTAAGCGAAAATAAGGGATTTATTTCGTGTTTTACAGTGCAGCTCTTTTCTAAAATAGTTTAGTTTGATCCTCATTAGGAAAAGCATGCAGTTTGTAAAGCGTTTCAGTCTTTCTCGCTCTATAGGCAGTCACAAAAAAACTGTACTAACTCAGAAATGTAATGCAAACATGTCATTGTTCAGTAAAGGGTTTGAGTTCGACTGATCTGCTTATTCTTTTCTTTATTGGCAGGGCGTGGATATTTGTTCTCGACTTTTGGGACACAATGAAAATAAACTTTCAACTCATGAACTTTCAACGCGTTGCCACACCACGCTTTAACCTCTGTATGAGAATGGAAAGTCTGTCTCCATTGCTCTTAAACCGTGTTCTCACCTGTTCGTCACATGCTTGATCTATACCTGTTTATATTTTTTCCTACGCCCATCTTTGACCTCTTCTTTTGCATCTCTTCCGTTCTGTTTCTTCTATGTTGCATGGAAATATGGCAACGTCCTAATGAGCTTTTTTAAACGACGTATGAAATCCATATTCTGACGATGAAAGTTTTTCAATGAGCTATGAAAGACCACTGCAGTAGCAACCTTAATATGAATACTGATAGTGTTACTGGTATATACTATTATATAATATGGGCATCCGTAATCCACTGGTTAGACGTACCCTGCTATACCCACATGCTCATTGGTTTTTCCCGCATCTGACTTTATGAAGCCTTCCATCCCTCCTAGGTCGATAAATTGTGCCAGAGTCGTCTGGGAGTGTAAGGTAAACTGACTTGACACATCAACAAGCTACCGTATGTTATTTCAAAGGCCAGATATGTATTCAATCACCTCTACGATCCTTGATAAACTCAGTTGCATGGCGCATCCCTAATCAGCGCCATAAACTTTATCCTTATCCATAACCCTAGCATTGTGTAATAATCGGTTTAGCCATTTATATCACTATGAGTATGCCTTATATATAATTCCTTGAAATTCCTTCAGCGGTTATTTCGAACCAAGAGAGCCAGAGTAAACCTAGTTCGGCCTTAACTACTCTGCAAAAACCCGTTTTTTTGCCACCAAAAAATTTGAGCAATGAGCGTATTCAGAACAGTTAAAAACCATATCTTAATTTATTAGAACTGTTCGCTTAAATTGTAACTTACTTCGGAATTGTTTTGCAATAAACTATATTGGCAGAGAAGAGGCGTTTTCGTATCTCCTAATTAGAAACATAATTCCTTTTTGTCGAAGAACGACAGCAAGCTCTTTACAACGTTATCTACACCAATAATACTAGCATCTATCGGTAAGGGATTCATGAAGCATCGCTAAACCCTCAGATCGTATTTTTTTTCGTGGCAGATTTACGCAGTTTACGCAGTAGCATGTACTCACTGCAAGAATATCAGAAGTCTCATAATTTTTTCAGTGTATCCGTGAAATGCTGTTACGGTAAAGTGGATGGTGTTGCTGTTTCGATCCTAGTATCAGCTGCAATGCAGTCATTAACATTTCCACTCTAATGGTTTCAATATAAATCGTGTGGCAAGTCGTCCAATTTCCAACATCTTGCTATATACAACAGCTTGGATAGTTGGATAGCGCGTGTTCACTGGTTGTGCGGTCCCCAGCATAATTTCCGTCTTCTCGGAGTTTTTCTGGTTAAGCCATTGTGGTTCCTTGAGATCCTGAGGTCAGCCTGACCAAAGTCTGCTAGGGGTCGTCACCACCACAGGTAGTTGGTGATTTTGTAGATCAGAGGGAGATTTAGTGGATCTTCGTATTCGTATAGGTTTTCTCTTATCTAGGCTTCCTGATGGAAACGCTGGATTTCTCAGCTTGGGAGACCCTAATGGGGGGAATCCACTCGCCAGCTGTACATCGCAGCCCGACACCCAGGAATACTTCCCGGCCACGACGAGGCGGTAAACCGTTAGGAGAGTATACGACAAAACCTCTTAATTTTGATCTTCGATGTGTACAAGAGCTTGAATTTTCTCTGTATCCTCGAATCTTTTTTTCGAACCTATTCGTTTACTGCTGTGCATCTGTTTCTAGACAGAGGCGTATCATTTGGAGATACTCATTGTACTGAGTGTGAACAAAGCGTCAGAAACGGATCTATTTCTCACTAATATCCTTTTCTTGAGGTCCAACCAAAGTTTGCGTCTTTTGTAGATAGTGTCGGAATAAATATATTCTTTCAGCCTTGTTAATATTTCGAATCATAAGAAACGACGTCATCGGGTAGGTGAAGATGATGCTGGCAGCCATCGCCCTTCATTTTCATGTTGTGAAGAGTGGAGATAAGAAATTTTACAGGATGGTATCTCTTTGTGTAATTGTTCTTTTTAAGT